CAGGTTGAACACCTCTGGTCTAAACCTTCATAACCCTGTTCAGGTCAGAGGGAAAGATGATTACAGTCCTGTAATTTAAAAAAAAATATATCATTCAGCAGTTAGACAAAAAAATAATAATTAAGGCAAGTTATTACTCTAGAGTCAATCTATTTCCATGCTTCTATCATTTCTGTCAACCGTGTTTGATGGTTGTTCTTCACATATGGAAACTGACAGAAAAACAGACATCAGTGAATATTTAGCACAACTTACTACAATTACAATTCTCCTTAGCAGTTTATGACTGGTAAAAAATGTTTCATCAACCTGGAAAGTCAAAAAGCTATAATAAACAACAAAGACCTAAAAGAGAAAAAAGGCAACTCATAATGGGTTGGATTCTTGCAACTATGAAAGAAAAGGGTTTTATTTTTCAGGCTAACACAGTTGACTAGCTGCATAACATTTCTTGTACACATTTATAAAAAAAATAATCATATTTTTGCTTGAGTTTTACTTTTCTTCAGTTTTGGGTCAATTTTTACAAATGATTAAACGCTATGTTTTCTATCAAATGGATATATGTGGAGATAAGTCATTAAGTCACCAAAAACATCCATGACTTACAAAGAAAATGACTTATTTCGTTCAGCTTTCTGACGATGTACAACATAGTTTATGATGATGAGCATAGTAAGAACAACAGCAACAGGAAGAACAAAATCAAAAACGCCAATAACTCCAGGATGAGGTCCTGTGACAAAAAGGAAAAATAGTTTTAACATTCCTTTTTGTTTGCTAAATGCTAATTTGTTACTTTCCTTAAATTCAGAAGCTTACATATCAATGTGCCTAGATGATGTCATAGCTGTGCATAATCTTAAAGACTATTCACATCCTCTTATTCTAATGGAGGCACAATTGTAGATGTATTTTAAGACAAAAGTCAAAGAAACACCTTTCTCAAAAACAGGAAGATTAAATCAGGACCAGGAAAACAGCTGTGGATCTCCACTAGTTTGGTTCTTTAGTTCCTTCATTCCAAATTTCTGAAGATGTTATTTTCATCTAATCAGATAATATTTCAGTATTCACACCATAGCAATGGTCAACCATCATGTGTTAAGGAAGGAGAATAGTGTCGTATTTTTTGTTATTTACTCATAGTTTTGTCCAGGGAAATGTGACTATATGAACTTGATAACTAATATTGATTATCTAGTTAGAGGTCAGTCAGTGTTCAACTCAACCAGTTTATACAAAAATAAAAAAATTTAAGCTAAATAAAATATAAATGGACTGAATTTATCTAAAGTATTTCCAGTCATGCTGATCTCTCAAAGCGCTTCATACTGCAGACACATTCATCCATTCACTGTCATTAACACCCATTCATACCCTTATATGCAGATCAATAGATATTTATTAGTTATCTGCTTTGCCCAAAGACACATCAACATGTGACAAGGGAAAAGCAGGAAGATGAATATTCAACCCAATGAGCCACAATCACAGCAGGTAACAAAAAGGTTTAAAACTAAGTCAGAGTGCAGTAACCACTGATTATCTAGTTAAAGATATTTACCTTCAGGACCAGTTCTGTTTCCCTAGGGTCCATTTCCATCTGTTGAGGAATTACATTAAGTGTTAAAGACAACAACATATTTATTTAGTTTGTCTTAAATTACCTTAATATTGTTATAACTCACCAACTCTTAGAGTAACATATCCCTTCTTGACTTGTCTTGCCAGTTTGGGAACAAAGCAAATATAATTCCCTTCATCCTCCTTGGTTACGTTGGTCAATTTGAGGGAAATGTCGCCTTTTTCAAACTCATCATGGAACAGAGATGTTCGGCCTTTGTACTCTGGGTCTGAAGTTTCATCATCTTTACTTCCCCCACGATGCACATGTATTATACGATCCTTGAATCTCCACTCGATTATAAGATGGTTCACGTCATATGGAGGCATCAGACGACACGGCAGAATAACATCGTCTCCAACCTTTGCATGTATCGGTTCATGACCAACCAGCTTCACTTGATCTGGAAGAGGAAACAAAGCTTTAAAAAAATCAACACTAATATTCCTGATGATGTCACGTTTATTGTTCAGCTAACATTCATATCTATACTCCTTTAGGATCCTTACAATTGTGAAAAAATATAGCTATCCCATTAATAGAGGTTTTTAAATGTAGATATTTGTTTTTTTTCTTTTATTTGTTCTTCAAGATGTAAAGAAAATCACTTTTGTGTCAAATTAATCCAGAAACAAACAGAGATGATCACATCTGAAACTTAGAAACTCCAATTTACAAGGACTATTGTATTTATTTATTTGCACACACAGAAAACAGTGGCAGCACCAAGGGGGCGATGTAGCTCTCCCTGGCGGAGACATGGCATCCCCAAAAAATATCACATAATTACTTTCTTTTTCCATTTAAGTTAGTATTCTTTAATATGTGGTTGTTGTGATATTTGTCTAACAAAAAACACAACTAACTTAAAAACAACAACTCATGATTACGTAGTGAGCAAAGATTCTACCTCACAACAGGAACTGAACCTGTATGCCTATTTTCACTTGTAGTATCAATTATAGGGAGCACCTAATACAAAAATGTATTGTTTTCTATGTGGTCTGATACCCAGATTTCCAAGGATGGAATCAACAACTCAAGAGGAAACTGACAAGATACAAAATTGAGTCCTGACAGAGTCCAATGTGGTTCACTGGAAACAGGCTTAACTTTGTGATGAGAATCTGGACACAGTTGTTGCTTTGGGCAACGACTGTGTCTGTCTCTTTCCCTCTTTATATATACACACACACGTGAGAAAGGATTGTATAACCCTTAAAAGGCATGTTGACCAGAAAAGCATACTGCAATCACCCTTTGGAGCAGGGATGAATATCTTGTTCATTGTTCTACAGCCAGAATGAAAGGAACGTCCATCTTACTGTTTTCTAGGTTAGACAATCAGTTGGAGCCTCCTGCCCAACCTCAGTGTAAATTTTCTTAGGAAGGCTAAGCAGAAGTGTCATCCCTCAATAACTAGAAGTCATCCTCACACCTTTCCTAAAAACAGAGGTGACCACATCAGTCTGAAACAGATACATGACATCAGATCTCACCTAAGACGTTGAGTCGACATCTTGCAGAGCCGACTCCATCTTCAGTTTTCACTCCACACCGATACCTACCAGAGTCTTCAGTCCTCAGTCTGGACACATGGAGTCTGATTCGTCCTTCTCTGAGGACGTCTTTGTCACTCTGGACTCGTCCTGAAAACTGATCATCCTGAGACTCTGGAAACTCAACACCATCATGGACCTGATAGAGAACTAGAGGGCTATAAGGAGCCAACAAGCTGCAGTAGATGAACAGTTCCCTGTAGGATCCCTGAGTCCTGGTGGTGAAGGTCCACTCCAGAGTGATGCTGTGGTTCTCCTCTGCCTCATAGCTGCTCTGGGTCACATTCACTACAAATGTTGCTGCTGAGGAGACAGAGAGGGAAAGAGAGGAGCAGACACACTGAGAACTGGAACATGGGAGTCTTTCAGCTCCATCTAGAGAGCTTTCTGTCACAAAGACAAGATGGAGACTGACCACAGAGACATGAGCTGAGGATGAGGAGCAGCAGGATCCTGGAGATCATATCTCTTTCCCTCTTTATATACACATACACACATGAGAAAGAGAGACAGTCTGAATGTTGAAAATCCCGTTAAAACTTGTAAATTTCCTGCTCATTTTTATTAAGGCTAAAATGGAATTGAAACCTTAATGTGGTGGAGCAATCTGAGTATCTCTAGGATCCTGAGGGCAACATTGTCAGAGGATTTGCCCCTGTATAAGATCCTGCATGGCAAATAAGAATTCAGATTAAGATTAAAAATATATAATTAAATTGCCAAATATTCACTATTAATTCACTACTGTTTTTACACAAGTAATCAGAGATCAGTGACCTTCATTTCAGCCACTGCTGATGAGAAATATTCAGCATATATTGCTGTTTTTCTCTTTTTTCTTGGGAAGTTATGACTCGTGTGTAACACCAGCGACACAAAAGTAAACAATGGAGGGAAATGACAGGTGCACATTTTCTAGCTGATGGATGGATTTTTTATTCAGTAATCAAATTACTTTTTCAAAGTAACCATGCCACCCCTGGTGATAAATTAACTACACTATATATCCTATGTATGTTTATGTTTTATGATCTCAAGGTGGCACACTGCCCCCAAAAAACATCTTCTTCCATTTCCTCTTGAACAAAGAGGAAATGGAAGACCATATTGACAGTCATTCAATCAATTCAATCAATTCAAACAAGCATAATGACCGTCATTCCAGGACTGGGGGAGGGATTAATTATTTCTATTTAAGAAGAATTTGATTGTGAGCCATCATTTCAAAGTCTTCCCAGATGTCAGACATTTTCCTCGTGACGCAGGTAATGCGAGGCGTCGTTTGCTGTCAGTCACGTGGTTTTCAACAAGCCGACACAAGCGTTGAAGCTGACTCTCACACACTCTGAGCCCTTTACAGAGGAGAGGGGGAGGAAGGAGCGCTGTGCTGTGCCTCCAAATAAAAGCAAGCGAGTTGAATATTTCAGAAACAAACATTTTTCGCAACTACGGTGAATTTGTTGGATGGGACAAATGCGCCTGTCTCCAGTGTCCCTCCCAGTGTCTCCAGCTCCCCCCCGCCCCCCGTGTACTGGGGGCGGGGGAAGGGGACACCGGGGTAACGGATCATCCAGAAAAATACCCGGATGTCAGACAAATACATACCTGCTTATTTTAAGTGGTTTTACGCAAATTCACAAACTTTTAGAGTGGTGGGGGAAGAGTTTTGTTTTGCTGAGAAATATCTTAACTTACCTGGATCCACTACGGGCAGCAGACTGAGGACCAACAAAGCCGTAAAAAAGCTCATTATTTCCGTCGGATAAAGAGCAGATTTCCGATTCTCTTTTAAGGTGTTTATCGAGTGTTTGATGAGCACTTGAAATGGCTCAGACGTCGTCGAATCAAACCCAAGTTAAATGACGCTCTCTTTCGTTGTGTCAGACCACCGCCCTACCTGCATCGTGGGGCGGTGGTCTGACTGTTTGTGCTACCTCATCAGGTTTTCCTACCGTAGCACGACTAGCTGTCAATGCTACGCGTCTAAAACTGCTACCATCATATTTACAAACCGAAAACTACAGCGGGTTGTTTTAATGTTAAATATCATCTGATAACATTATTTGAGTGACGGGGCTGAAGTGGAAGCAGTTATGCTTATCTTAGCATTGGAACAATTTATAAACACCACGAATCCACAAATATATCACTTCCTCAATCAGAATATCCTACCCATTTAAAATGAAAAGCTATGCAGATGTATGAACTAATCCGTTGATTAGAATATCTTACCTTTTAAAACATATTTTAAATACAGAGGTGTTTGTAAGAATGAAACAGTACCAGACAGTGGAAACAATTTTTTATTAAAATAAAAATAAACACAGAAGAATTAATAATTTTAGGCAGATTTAGGTTTTTAATTTTGACATTTAACCCTTTAAGCAATTATATTATTCAAGGGTTTTATGACAAATAAGTATTTGCTGAATTTGTGTGAGGACGTAGATTAGTTCCTCCATGTATTGGGTTATTTTGTTCATCAGCTCAGGAAAACAGATGTTGCTCCTGCAACTGAAGAGGGAAGAGCTGGAAACGTTACGATGTGATGATTTGGGTGGGTAGTCTCTCTCTATAAAAACTGTTGTTGGGGTTAAAATTCTGATCACTTCAGGCGTTTTGCTGTTAGATGTTTTGAGAAATGTGATCCCAAAGAAATATCTTTCTATTCAGTAAATATGGTTCATTTTTACCTTGCTGATTCTTTTTGGGTTGGATTAATCCTTCACATACAAATCCTGGGTGATTTATTGTTCTTAACTTGGTTTTTCCACCCAGTTTTTATCTTTAGTTTTTATCTAATTGTTTACATTGATTTCTCCACTTCTTCCTCATCGTCTTCTCTTTTCCCCATCATCAAACGTGAGCTTGAAGCACAACCAGCAGTCGGTTCATTTTAACACACGTTAAACATGAGGGGTGAACCGATACAGCTTTTTCACTTCCAGTACAATCCTGATATGTTCTATATGTTCTATTAACACCAACACACACTGCAGGAAAAACACAGAAACAATCACTGACCGTGGATTTATTTATCTTAAAATAAAATTAAGTAAAACATTGCCTCTGAAACATGTATTCTCTTGCAAAGTGAACACTAAATGGTGTCAGAGACCCAATTTTATTTTACAAAACACTGGCCTGAATATCATAGCTGTTAAGCTGTAACCACAGTTAAACGTCCCTCCATCCCATCCTATGTTCAATATCCTTTACATTAGAAGACTGGTTTACAAACAATAACTACTTGTCAATCACTTATAAACTATAATTAGTTGATTATTAGTTATTTCCTATAACTTTAGCTACTAATAAATGAAGTGCCTGTAAAACTGAATCAATGTTACACTGGATCAAAAAAGTGGACATGAAGCAGTAGGAAAGTTGTCATCAAGTTAACTGCT